TCATATCCCTGTACTCAGCACTGGTGAGGCCATACCTCAAATATGTTGCATTTTGGGCCCCTCACTACAGGAAAGATATTGAGACCCTGGAGTGTGTCCAGAGAAAAACAAAGCTGGCGAAGGCCTGTGAACAGCAGCTGAGAGAACTGGGGTTGTTCAGCCTGGAGAAAAGGAGGCTGAAGGTTTTTTCCCCCCCTATTCAAAACACTGAAGCGGTTGGTAAACTGATATCATCTTTATATAATGTCAATACCAGCCAAATGCAGAAGACATTGCGCAGGCTTCTAACCCATACTGCAACTCAGTCATGTAATTATAATCCAAAAAACCACACATAGTTTTACGAGTCATTCTACTCTGAGAAGTGATTATGCAAGATCACAACCTTCCGCATCTGTCTGCTCATGTTTGCTACAAAAAGGTTCTGACATGGCCAAAAACCTGTGTTCGAGGGTTTGCCCTGTCTGCATGGATGAAACTGCACTCAGTTACCCCATCAATAGCAACTCTTTGCTCTATTCCCACTAGGGCTGGACCTACAATCACTTGAAACAGGCCTAGTGGAAAATTTCAGGTGGAAGAAAAAAGATTTCTTTACTGACTCGACAGGCAGCATTAGGTCCATTATGCAAGAACAACAAAAGAGGACCCAAACAATCTAACAGGATCTGTGCAGTCAAAATGAAAGCTTTATTTCATTTGCATGCTAAGAATAGATTGTCAGCTGCCTGCCGATTTATTTATTTTTTTAACACTTGGTTTCATAACAGAATTACACTGTGCAACAGGAAAAGTAATTTGATAAACCCAGAAAAGTCCTCTGACAAAGGCAGCCAGAATTACTTCTCTTTCCCCCTGCCTATAAGCAAAGTTGTTGCCGCTAACTCACACTGGATAATAGCCCATTACCTCTCTCTGAGAAAAGAGAGAAACACTGAAGTCTTTATATGACATTTCCAAACACATACAATATATTTTCACACAGGTCAGAAGCTTAAAGTTTCACATAAAGCTATTAAAATACAGATTATTTTAATACAAATCGATCTTACTGTGTGGCTCGATCGTAGACATAACTTCCTTTTCAGATATCACTAGCTGACAAAAGTGATCTCCAATGTTGGCTAGGATATACTTTGCTGTGTCGAGATCTAGACCCACAACGTTTTTTGATAAAGGCAGCCATAAGCTAATAGCCTCAGGGTCGTATTTATTTGGAGTTAAAAAGCCTTCTTCTCGCAGTATTCCATGCTTATTAAACTGTAACCTATGGGAAGAGGGAGAAAAGGAGAACAACTCAATCTCAAATGTTTTTTTAGTCTACATTCATTCCATTGTGTCAATGCCTGAACTGTAAACATGTATACTGCATATCAATGAGCTTAACACTTAAAGGTTGCAGCAGACACGAGTAAACATACTTGCCATTAGCATTAAGCATGCTTAAGGTTCTGCTTGTTTAAAAAAAAGGACTTAAAACAGTGTTAATTAGTAAGGTAGATTTCTTAATTAAAGATATTTTTTATTCATACAAAACCAATTCAAGTTAACATTTTTTAAAATCAAATCTAGAGAAGGTAACAGTAAAAATTTAATTTAGAACTGTGTACAAGTCACAAGAGACATGACAACACCTTAAAAATAGTACCTATTTCAGTAACAATTTGGAAGTAAGTGCCAAAAGAAGTCCAGCAAAGTGATTCTGAGTAGATGGAAAGAATGAGATCTGTATTGTTAGCAGTTTATTAGCTAACAAACATCAAGAGTTCTACTCATGTTTTCAGGAACCTTTTTAGTAGATTTTGTAGAGGGAAGTGGACTTCATTGTATTTTTAAGTGTGGCAAGAAAACACACGTTGGCAACTGATATCATCAGAAAAACACCACCTTCAGACTTTGCTGATTTCACATTCAATAAAAAGAGAGAGTTCCGTCAGCTTCAAGTTCTAAACTGAAGAATTCAACTGCTTTGAACTGCACTTCAAGTCTGCATTTTTACCCTGAGAAGATGAATTAGCATAGTCTGTTGGTACTCTAGTCTCATGTGTTTTTTGAATGTTTAAGTTAATGTCAGATTACCCCAAGATTTACTATAGTAAAGTCTCCAATTTGAGGTTAAATAACAGATTAGTAATACATATTCATTTCTTTTAAACCTTTAGCTACAAAATATGCAAGAAACAAATGAAAGAGTGGAAAAGTTCGGGTTTTTTCATGATCTTTGTAAACTTTGTGCTTTGAGTTTTCTTTCTTCAAAAGGTCTTCAGGCCTACAGCTTCTTTTATTCTACCTAGAGACTCAAAAGAAAGTCATTCCTCTGAAAAATCAAAGGGAAAACTGAGAATAAGTAAGCTTCCCTTCTCCCTTGTGATAAACAGTATTTTTGCGTTTCCTCTCTGATACCACAAACGTTAACTTCTTCCCATAAGACACAGTCCATGCCTCAAAGTTTAAGTGGGTGTAAGGGGAAATAAAAAGCAGCATGCAACAACATCTGGCCATGAGATCAAATAGTTCATGGAAAAAATGCATACAACTTGAAAACAAAGGAAACGATGTGTTAAAAATCAGCCAGACACTGCAGTTTGACAACATCCACCCTGGGCTTACAGATAGGCTTAAAGTAACAGCTTAATACTCTTTTTGAAAGGGTTCCTGATGGTGTCTTAAGAGCTAAAGAGATAAAACATCACAAGACCTTTATAGTTCAACTCCAGAATCAGGCTCTGGGGGCTGTGGGTGGGATATAATAGATCTGAAGCTGCAGATCAGGTTTGGAAAAGCAACCACCACTCCACAGTCACCAGGCTTTCCCTGAAGTTGCCTTGCTGACCCTCCCCATCTGCCCTCCTGCAAGTTTAACTGATGAACTGTTTCCATGGCAAGCTTAAAGTACCACCACAAACTCTCAAGTGCAGCAACACAACATAAACCATTATTTTGTCCATGACTCCAGCTGAAAGTCCCAGGCCACTTAGAGCAACTCTTCCACAGCCATGGCTCTATGTCTAAAATGTCATATGCCCAATCACTACACTTTGGGAGACATGCACGGAATCCACCCTCTCACTGCTGTCTCCAAAGCTACTGAGCTGAAGCACTCAAACTAAACTCATGCTAGCCCATTGGCACTCAGCCCAGAACAGCAAAATAAAGACCTCAAAGTACTGCCAAAATATTTTCTGCTCAAATAAAGCAGTTAAAAAATTCCTAAGGGCTAAAAGAAACACAGGCAACCTCTCATTAGTTTGGTATATTAGCCTTATAGCTTGACAGCTACACACTGACATCCAGCAGTTTTGAACCAGAGACCTAAATGAGACCACTTAGACCAAATAACTGTTTTTCCACTTGTCCCAGAAGATGAAGATCCATGTTATAGCTAACAGTGAATGCTCAACAGCCACCCTTTCAGCAACCAAAAAAAGTCATATGTCCAACTCAGACATGGGGCATGTGTTATTCACACTTAAATAATATTGAGGTCTATATAGAGTCAAAATTTTTCTTACCTTCTAAAGTGAAAGAATCGACAAAAGACAGTGGAGTCCCTTTGCTCTTTGTTCTTCCGATAACTGTCCAAACGGCATTCCCTGCATTTATGCAGGTGAGGTGCGATATTATTGCAGGAACCATCCTGTACAAAAGCTTCTCCACTTTGCTGCAGCTTCTTCACTTTAGCAGCATCTGCTAAAATCGACTTGCGAACAATTACTGCAGGGAAGAGTGGTGTAGATGAAACAAGGTTTAGTTTCTCATATAAAGGTGCGAGCAAATGTATTTTAGTGAAAGTTCCAGGTCAACTTTTCCTATGTTTCACATTACATTGAAACAAAGTTACGCCAAAATATTTGCAGTTGTCTGAAACCTCTTCCCAGGTCAGTAGAGACCTTCTTGAGCTGTCATAGTCTGTGGAGCCAAGTTTAACAACTCTTTACACTGCTCCACACAGAAATACTCTGAAAGAGCACCTGCTTCTAATGAAAATTCTTTAGCCATCAGGGCTGCAATACCTGAGCACTGCGTAGACCAGGGCGTGAAACAACCACATTTCACATGAGGTACAACTTGGTCATTTCTCAGGCTGTTTTCACCCTTCAAGATGCAATGGCTTTCAGCATCATACTACAACTGATGTCAAACATCTCTCTCCCTCCCACAGCGGGGGTGAGGCCTAGCAGGGCACACCAGTGACTGCTTGGCTGGCTGCATACCCATGTTAATTATGGAACAGCACATGGTAATCCAAGAACAAGCAACATGAGATTGGAAAAAAAGAAGAGGCGGGTGTGTTGGGAGATTCCCAGAATCACCAGCTGTACTGCCTGATGTACAGCACAGCACACAGCCCCAGGAGTCCAGCTTCTGCAGCCTTTCCCATTCTGTCCCACATAGAAAACTTTAAGAGCTCACCAAGCAGAACCAGGACACAGAAAACATACAAACACAGTGGGTTGTTTTGAGGTTGGGCAGTTTTTGATTTATATTTTTCCCCCGTTTGTTCAGGTTTTTGTTTGTTTGTTTGTTTTGCTTTCAGAACAGTTATTAAATGAAAGTCCTTCTCGAATAAAGCTTTGTTCAGAACAACTTCCATCTCTCACCATGCTTACAAGATTTAGGACCATTGCTAAAAATAAACAGCAGTCTTATCACACCATCAGCATTTGCATCACAAACAGAATCTCGTTTTTGTAACCCGTTTTGCCATTCTGTTCTTGCATACATTTTGTAACAACTTCTTTCTAGAAATTAATGACTTTTCCTTTATCAGGAAAATGTTTTTCTCAAGTTTATTGCATTCCCCTTGTAAAAGAACTCACAAATTACTCAAATTCCAGATTCACTCATACAATTTAAATTTACTAATTTTGCGTACGTTATGAAGGACTTACAAATAGTTTCACAGAAACTACAAGGACTTTCAAATAGCTAAGTTTTAAAAATACTTACTATTATCCTGGAACTTGGCACTTCCAGTCCAAAAGCTTTCATTTTCATTTCTGTCATAAAAAATCTCATTTGAATTTCGTCTAATAAAACATTCCATGTCTGTGAGTTCATCAATCTTGTTTCCTTTGTGGCTGTTCCGGCTATTGCAGTTGTTTCGTGATTTAACTCCAGACTCGGTAAAAGAGAGAAGATGAGCATCTGAGGTTGAGGGTCTGCAATCTAAAGTCCGCTGCAGTTCAAGAGTGTTACTAACTCTGGGTATTGCTATGGAAGAGTCAAGATGTTGCAACTGTTTCACAGAAAAGCACTCTTTTGGAAAGTTTGTTGTGGGCTTCTTAAGAGGTTCGTTTGTATTTTTCAGGTTGGTTCCTTTTTCATCAGCTGAATCAGTCAAAGAAGATGATCTTGAGGTTGTCAAAGAGGAATATCTACCATTTTGATCATTAAGATTTTGCGTTTGTTCTTTAGATATAAACCCCACTTTAGGAAAGGCCGTCAGATCTTCCTTCAATGGTTTAATTCCAGTATTAAGACAAGAAGGATGAGTTTCCGGTAAGCTCCGCCTACATGTGCTGAAACACATGACATGCAATGATTAGACAAAGAAAAAGGTGTCAAACAAATCTGGGTATCAGCTGCAAAATCTAGTCACACAAAGCCTGAAAGAGTAAATGCAATCATGTACTTTAAATCCTGAGGTCTCAAGATTTAAAATTTTGTGTGAGGTTAAACAGGTTTGTGTTTTTCAGGGATTTTTTTTGTTTAGGTTTTAAGTTTGTTTGGGTTTCTTTGTAGTTATTTTTGGTTTTTTATTGTTTGGTTTTCTTGGTTCGTTGGTTGGGTTTTTTAAGAGTTAGACAGAATGATAAAGCTTTACACACATGCAGACACACACAAAATTAGGTGCTGCAGCTACTCCACTACTTTCTCTCACAATTAAACAGTTACTTACTCATTTTCTCCATACAGCAACTGTATAACCAAATGTATTTCACTCTTACGTCTGTGTGAGAACATTCTAATACTCAAGGTGCATCCAGCTGGCTCTACAAGTCTATATTGGAGGCAGTAAAACTATTGCTATACAAAAAGCTCAAATTTAAAAAAATAATATTTTTAGCATTTATCTTGTGAGATACATACACAAAAATGAGTGGAAAAAAAAAGACCTATACCACTTCTTCTAAAGCTAAATCACAAAATCTTAGTTTTCCTGTCATACTATTTCTACCATAGGCGTTCATTTTTGTGACAGAATTGAGGAAAAATGCACAATATACTGACCTTCCAATTATGCACATTAGGAAGGAGCTGCAATTACACTGAGGAAAGCAGCTACATGGTACAATTCAGCTCCCATACGTGTTATGGTCAGAGAACTGAATAAAACACACCCTTCACCTCAGGCCCCTGACTGCCTTTTCTCCCATCACAGTTGATGTAGAAGTTTGTTTTTCGGATACATTTATCTGATTGAAAAATGTGTTGACAACATGGCTTCTAGAGACAGATTTATAATGGAAATGAAGGATCAGCTCAAATTTTTTCAAGGAAGGTTTGGAGTGGGAAGGTTTTACATCCAGTCAGGTATAACAAAGAAGTTTAAGGCCACTGGTGTTGAACAGAAAAGTAATTGAGAACCAGTACTTGATCTGCAAAAAGCCAGTGTATGACACCTGCCTGAAAGTGTTTTATTTTTCTTGGGGGCAGAGAAGGAATGTGTCTGGCAAAAAGCAGGCATCACACCTATGTATCAGTTTACAGATGGGTGCAATGAAGCAGTAACATTGGCCCACAGGAAAGACGAGGATAAACTTCTTAGTAGGACCTGTTGCAATAGGACACAAAGTAATTGTTTTAAACTAAAAGAGGGTAGATATAGATAAGGAAGAAATTCTTCACTTTGAGGGTGGTGAGACACTGAAACAGGTTGCCCGTGGAGGTGGCAGATGCCCCATCCCTTGAAACATTCAAGGTCAGGTTGGGCAGTGCTCTGAGCAACCTGATCCAGTTGAAGGTGTCCCTGCTTATTATAGGGGGGTTGGACTAGACAACCCTTAAAGGTCTATTGCAACTCAAACTATTGTATGGTTTATAAGAAAAGAAAAAATATGGCAAGCACATTGTGTATCCAGGACAGTTAAGTCTAACACTTTCCCACGCCAATATTACAGAAGATTAGCTACTACAGTTCTTTAAAATGACCTCCGAGTCTGTTTTGCTAAGAACTGGAGTTCTTTTTGAAGGAAAAGTTTGCATAAGCATAAACTGATTCCTTACCCCTGAGGAGTTTCTGCACCAAGATCAGGTGGTGAGTTAGATGGCAGGGGCAGGCCTTGATGCCTTTGGTCTTTATTAGCAGGAGTACATCCTAGCAGTGCTTCACCCAGCACTGTTGGCACTGACTGCACATGTCCCTGACTGGGAGAAACCTGTAAAGAAAAATTTCAACAGTTAGGAAAAATCAGGATAACAGAAATACTGCTTTGAAGGGCTCAACTTAAAAAAAAATACATTAACACTCTTCCCACTAAGTTTAATAAAGTTAATTGAAGACCACTCCTGACTCACTCTGTAAGATGGAAAGACATCAGAGTGTCTTCTTAAGCCTCACAGGTTTCATGAAACACTGTTCATGTTAATTCATTTTCCTCCAATTAACAACAAACTTTTTTTGGGGAAAGAAGATATATGAAGAAGGTAGAAAGCAATATAGAAAGCTCTGCTTTTCTTAACTGCCCGTGCAGTGATCTTTCTAAAAATAATTGCATTAACCAGAATTCAGAAATAGCTTCAGAAATAGAGCTCATCTGAAAATCTTAAGAGAAAATTAAAACTGTGAAGTTAGTCTGACAACATTACCAAATATCTAGATGTGAACTTCCCTGTAGTGGGAAAAATCTTTGCACCAGGATTCTAGAAAGTGTTACATAAAGAAATCCCGCACTGACTGAATCACCAGCCTTACAAATCTACTATTACTTTAGGAATACAACAGGCCTACCAAATTAGCAAGTGTCTTTAAAAACTGTAGTTTTCTGTGGGGCTCCTTCCTCAGCTCTAACATCCATATTCCACTCCCACATGCTCAGCTTACCGCTGGAAGTTACACTACAGACTTGTTACCATCATTTCCAAAATATTTCCTTTCTTCTTTGGTAAAGCACAGCTGTCAGGCATTGACAAGCTCTCAAAAAAAATGCTGGAAGTAATTAACTCCATATTAGAAATCAGAGTACTACCACATACTAATTAAAATAAATTTTTAAAAAGGCTTCAGTTTATCATACCCATATATTCACATCCTCCAAAACTGGAGAAACTGTTTTCCATATTAGAAAGTACATTCATTGTAACCATTTTAAGAAAATATTTGCAAGACATTTCCCAAAGGCTACAAAGAGATAAAGATTGAGTCCTTCAAAAGAAGACAGACTAGAAATTTAGAAGCAACTCCGCTGCTTTAAGGAAAAACTATGGTGAAACAAGTTATGAATTCAGATCAGGATAACAGTCCTGCGGGTTATTTGGAATATGAAATAAAGACCATGTTTGTGTATTAAGCAGATCACTCAATGGCTGAATACACAGAAAGCCAAAGACTGGCAAACTGAGCACCTGAAAGATGCTGAAGGTACTCAAACACAAGCTATAGAAGCAACATCAGCAGAATTTGACTGCAGTGCACTAGCTACTTCATGCTGAGTTGCCGCACACTCTTCCTCAGCAGTAAATACAAGATAGATCACTCTTTTCATTGAGGAATCTTATCCTGTACTTGCCACCTCATGCTGTATCTTTATGAAGCTGGTAAAGATTTCTAATAATGATATCCCATCATTAACCAGACTCTACACAGTTTACTCAGCACAGGACTGACTGTGCAGAAGCCAAGAACACAAAGCCAAAAAATAAAACCCCAAAACAAAACCTAACCTTCTCACCCCACCACCACTCCAGAGCTTCCAGAAGGCCACTCCTGCCTCAAATGCAATTTTTGGTCTGAAACATTGGGGCAAAATTATAGGGTAAGTTCAAAGTACTGTTCTTTAGCCAAGCCATTAATTTGAATTTACATTTCTGTACTTAAGTTAACCCTATAATCTTTTGACCTTTGAGACCGTTTTCTTAGATTTCAGTGATACTTGCCAGGGCACTCATAAAAGAAATAAATGTAGACATGGAAATACTACGGAAGTAGTCATATTCCCTTTTTGTACTGAAGCAACATTATTCCAGAATGCTGCTTCTGTAGCTTGAATCCTCAAAGCATACAAGTGTAGATGAAGGTTTTGGGTTTAAGTACAAAATAACTAAAGAAAGAACATGAAAAGCAAAGGTTATAAACTTGAGAACTATTTTGCATTTTCTCCCACTACAGAATACAAGACCAGGCAGGCTAACTCCTATGCAGAAGCAGGAGACAAAAAGCACAGCTAAAAAACCCCAACAAAAACAAACCAAGAACCAAAACTAAAAAACCCAGTCTTCAAGGCTCAGTAACTTTTTCTCAGATTATCGCAGGGCAAGATGTTTTACCCATGCCCAGACAAGTTTCAAATAACTCAACACACCCTCCCAGAGATTATATTTATTATTCCACTTCCCTATCTAATCTTTGACTGCTCTGAGAAATGACATAACCATTATATAACTGTCATATATAACATAGTAAGACATTACCTCAGGAGAAGATTTTGTGTGCTTAGCATCAACACTTCCATTATTCTCTGACAACTTCCTTTTCACGCCTCCAATTCTTTTAGATTTATCTGGAAGAGAAGGTGATCAAGATTAGTCTAAGTAGCACATTTGTGACAAATATTGTTTGAAGGACAAACAATAATATGTCTTACCACATTTTCCATTGTTGTCATATATGATCTCAACATGAATTAACTCTGGATCAAGAGTTTTTAAAGCTGGAATCTTGGAAAGGAACAAAAACACAGATGCAGTCATTTAGAGAGGTGAAAGTTACTGTCTGAATGTATTTACCCTGGATGTTGTGGTACAGACTTAGCTTACACACTTAACTTCCAGGTTCTTTGGATACCAAACTGGGTTTAACAGTTATGACAGTGTCTTTGCATGAAAACACAGACTAGTGCTTCAGAGCACTGTCTACACAGTATAGAAAGCAAAGAAATCAGGACTGTACGTTTGCCTTGCTCTTCAATTAATTCTGTTTCTCCTTCATTTTATGTAGAAGACCATTTATTATTTGACCATTCTACCAGCAGCATGAAGTAATACAGAAACACTTCTGAGTAATAGATTATTCTGCACTAGACTGAGCCCCATTTTTTAAACCTTATTATAGTACAGAAAGAATTAAAACCGGTGTTGATGAGGGTATAAATACAAGATCCCACCCATTCCACATCTCTGGTTGTAAACCCACAGGAACAACTGGTTCTTACCTCCTGACAGTTGACTTCTAGAGTTCTTGTAGCTGGATTAGCATTGACAACAACTGCTGTGAACCACTGAGTAGATGGATCCAAGCTATAAATTCTAATTTTTGACCCGATTATACTTTTCCCACCTTAAAAATTGAAAAAAAACAAAACAAAACAATAAAAAACAAATCAAAACAAAAACAAGAAAATGTAGCGTAAGAAAAAGGGAGCGTTAAGATCATCACAGCTACAGACATGAATTTGCCAACAGTACTACATGCAAGATGCAAGTAAGCAAAGCAAACTGAGAACTTTGAGACAACTTCCACATAGCTGAGGCAGGCAAAAAAGAAAAAAACCAACATAATAAAACTATGTTCCAGGTACCTCCTTCCTGGAACAGTTCTATGAAGTTTTCTAGAGGATAAGACATGCAGTAGAGACCAGACTGACCTCCAGAATTCAGACAATAAAACAGAGCAGTGGACACAGAAATGGAGATTCAATGACCAGATGTGAATTTTTCCCCTCCTTACAGTATTGGAAATGACAACTCTACGTTGCAGTATTTACCTTTCCATAAAGGTAAGGCATTTCTTGCTTATGCAACCATACGACTACGAAAATGCCTGTACAAGCCCAGTAATTAAAAGCTGGCAAATCTAAAGAGAGCAATTTTAACTTGACTGAAAAAGTAGTCTGTGTAAAACTTTCAAGTTTTTATAAACAAGCAGCAGACTAAAAAAGCTACTTGAAGCAATAAACAACTCCAAATAGTTTCAGTGAGAACTGCTACAGATTTGATATCTTTCACAAGTGCCAGGCCATCTATGTGTGCCCAAATTACTTCCTCTTACAAAGAAAATACTTGAAACTTAAATCTGTATAATCCTTCATATTTTGCATTCAATGCTGTGAAAGAAAGTATTTTTAAAGAGCTTTTATCCCTAAAACAGATTACTGTAATTTACACTATCAGTGCAAAGATTTTTTGCTTTGGACTTGAGTATTTATTGTCAGAGTTTTCCACTACAGAGTATGCTTGTACCTTGTACCAAGCGTGTTTCATCCAGATGTTTCTTAACCAAAGCCTGAATTTCTTCATTAACATTTTGATCATCCTTTAGAGGAAGTCTGGAATTGTCCACATCCTATTTAGGAATAAGAAAAAAAAATAGAAGTTGGTATTAAGGATAGTGCTTTTCATTAACAAAACCCAAGATAGCTGCAATTCATTGCAATTCAGTAATGAGGAACTTCACAGAATCAGAATGTTAAGGGGCTGGAAAGGACCTCAAAAGCTCATCCAGTCCAATCCCCCCCTCACAGAGCAGGATCACCAGACCAGGTCACACAGGAATGCATCCAGGCAGGTTTTGAATGTCTCCAGAGAAGGAGACTCCACAACCTCTCTGGGCAGCCTGGTCCAGTGCTCTGTCACCCATTGCCCCTTGTCCTGTCATTGGGCATCACAGAGAAGAACCTGGCTCTTCTTGTCACACATCTACTCTGTGCTCCTTCAGCTCCTAGGATATTGTATTTATTGAGGCAGACATCATTTCCTCACCACTAATCTACATCTACCACCTGCAAGCTAGACTGAAGCAAGATCTCCAGTCCACTTTAATACTGTTCTGAAAACAATCTGGCTTTGCTTTACTACATTGCTAATGAGCACTAAGTTTAATTGAACCATCCATTTTTTAATTTAGGATTTAAAGTTCTCAGAAGCAGCAACTTACAAGTAGTTCTGAGCAGATGTAAATGCAAATATTTTAAGTTTTATGGTTTTATTTATGATAACAACAACAGGATCCAGTCCATTTCAAGGCATTATTATAAAATGTTTGTATGAGTGAAAACAGAGTCAGCTACATCTAAGTCATTCATAATTATTCAGCATCATGTATTTTTTCCTAATTTTTCTCTATTGTTATCTAAAACAAACTGCTTGACAACATTTAGAATTAATTCTGAAATGGACAGTTTAGGACAAGTTTTTACCAATGGCTCAGAGTGCTAATAAAGGTTTTTTGGTTTTGTTTTTGGTTGGTGGGTTTGGTTTTCTGTTTGTTTGTATGTTTTCTCAAGCACTGCTCTGGTATTTGTAGGCAGAAGCCTGAAGAGCTAGTAGCCAAGAAACTGCTATTCAAGATGCTTGTAAAGCGATCTTCTCCACTGCAGTATTGAGATAAGGCTTCTCAATAAAGAAATCTCTACTCTGTTGTTGAGCCAACACAAGCAAGACAACAATCTACAACTCAAATTCAGCTTTAAATGTTTCTTTTGTTAGTTTCTCAAGAGTTGTCCATTTGCTGACTGTCAACAAGTCAAAGTAGAACACTAGTGATGGCACTGCTAACAGTCTCAACATGGGACATCTGTTACAAGTTTTATTCAGCCTGTTTATAGGTCTTAAGGGTAGTGTCCTGAAAAGGTTACATCCTTTACCATTAGCAGTTACTATTCTTCAAAATGCCTGACCAGTCAGTCACACAGGACAATTGTTTCAACCCCTCTCTACCTAATTTTCACTAACAAACCTCCATCCTAGTGCTCAATAAAAGAACTCTAGTTCAACCATCTCATTTACATCCTGCCCAGTTCCTCATTTGCTTAAGACTAGAAGTGATGTGTTTCTATTAAATTGCAAGATTTATTCCAGACATCCCTGCAACTCCTTTCATAGTGATGACAGTCACATTTACAAGAACAAAAGGAAATTATTCCACATTATCCCCACCATCAACATGATGCAATTGCTGCCACCTGAGCTGAATAACTGTCCTAGCACACTCCTTCCTCCAGCTCTCAAGTCTTGGATCAGCTTCAGAAGGTTTTTAATCACCAGACACACCACATTCAGAACTGACATTTAGGAGTTATAGCAATAAACACCTACTCCAAGTTTCTACTCATCTAAAGTTTGCATTTAGAATATCTTAAATACCAAGATAAAAGATTTATCTTCCAACTTTACAGTGCCATACAAGGTTACCTGAATGGGTGTCAAAAGGTCTTTAGAAAGAAAAATACATCTCTCTTCACCAAGATAGCGTATCGAAACCAATGATCCCAAACCAGCTTTGTCCACTAAGGATTTGTAAGTCTAGAAAACCAATAAACATTTTCTTAGAAACAGAGTAAAAGGATATCATCATTCATCATTTGCATTTAAAAAAAAAGAATTTAGTTTTGCATCTATTTCTTTGTTAAAATACCACATCTACATGCAACTCTTGAAACAAAGCAAGCTTCTAATGAAACTCTAACACATGCCTAATAAAGGACATACTGGACTATACGTGAAATTAGTTAGGAATTCAGTTCAGGTGGTTGTCATTAACAATCATAATTATATCAACATAGATTTCCTCATATTAAGAGTTCTAATTGTGGATACAGTAATGAAGCCCTCCCCTTAGGGAAGACTGGGAGAATAACTAGCAAATCAACAAAGGCCTGCTGTATGGCTTACATAAAAGTTCTCAAAGCTCACGCAACACTGATAATAAACTGAAGTGTTAGTTTAGGTGCATATGAGGACTTGGAGAGCCTTATAGTAGTTTTACCACTGCAGTACAATGACGAAGCTGTGATCGGGTATACCAAAGGCTTTAAGAACAGAAAAGAAACAAAATTTCCTTTAAAAGTTTCTGAACTCTTCCCAGCATGTTTAAGGTTAAGTGTTGTCTAGCCCTGCAGTAACAACCCTTGAGCGGGTAGGCATCAGGAGCCTGGAACATCAGAAGTGGCAAGTAGAACTCCTCCTGAAGCAAAAGGTACTTCTGTGCCCCGTTTAAAAGAAAAGGGAAAAAACCCATTCTGGTAGAGTATGTGTTTGGGTTTCTAAAGGACTTATCAAGCAAACAAAGACTTTCTTCCCCTTTATTGTTTTCACTTCAGTTAGGACAGCATTGGCAAAGGGGCAGTATCACCACAAGAGGAACAGGAGTCTCTCAAGGAGGGACTGGGCATTACAAGAGCTCTGCAAAGCTGTTCTATTTGTCAGAAACACACTCTCCTGTATACTTGAATGAATAAGTTGTGATCAAGATTCAAATAAATCAATCCACGATTATCTTTTTTGACCTCTTCTTTCCTGGCTTGTGTGGTAGAAAGGAAAAAGTTGTCTTTGCCAAGGCAAGCTCCAGTATTGTGCTTTACCTTTATCCTACATCATTCCACTGCTAAATGAGCTGAAATAAGTTCACTGCCTGAACTGACACTTCAAATGCAGCATGAAGGAAACTTTATGCGTAACAAATGCAAGTATCCAGTAAGAACTGCTCAGATAGTTGGAAAGAGACAACAGCTAAGTTTAAATAAGCAAGTTTTCAGCACATTGTATCAGCAAAAATCTCCTAATGCGCAGGTGAGGCAATAAAATTAAGGATTCATCTTTCCACTTCCTCTCCCATCCTATTTGGCCCTACTTGCAGTAAATATCTGCTTACATTAGCTTTGCTCAAGAAAAACCTCAGCTAAAATACAAATTACACTGCATACTTAATACCTAGAGAAGTTAAGAGTATTAAACATGGACTACAACTTCAGCATAATTAATGTTCAGCAAGTTTACATTTTTATTTATTTCAGACCTACTTTTATGAGTAGCAATTTCTAAAGTAGTGAAGTAAAACTACACTGGCTGAATACATTAACAAATGTTCCCTGTTCACCTCCACTGGCTAATTTGCCTAGCCACCCATGCATGCAAGACACAGAAAGCTCAGTTCCCTGGCTTGTACAGAGTAGCTCAGGTTTTTGCATGCACAAAATCCAGATCTCACAAATCTTCTCTGGCAGGCAGCCACCACATAAGAGTTGTTCAAATTATTTTTGTCTCAGATCAAGAATCACTGAAGAATTAGCAGTACTTGAGGCAGAGTAAAACAAGAATTTAAGATAAAAATATAGGCTATCCTTAGAAACCTACTATTTACTCTTTTTCTCTCTATTCTTAACTGCAGTTTCATAAGAGAAGGAAGAAACACGAGACTAGTGGGAGAAAAAACTAACATCGTACAGAACAGTGGTTTGGGAGGGGAAGCAAAGTCATAAAGATACATTCCTGTATCTCCAGGCACAACATACCAACTTCATACACTCACAAGCTCTGCCTAGCTCTAGCTGTACAAAGATTTCCAGTCCCCCTTCATGTCACGTGTAAGAATACACAAGTTAAGCTACACTTGAGAAATTCACACTTGTAACAACACTGTCCTTAGAAAATGGAACTGCAGAACCAAAGTAAGTTAGGCCAAGCCTATACTTGCCATTGCAGGCCACTGGACAGGAGATACAGTGTTGCCATGAAATTTTCTTTCAGCCAGTACCAGCTTTTGCTCCACCAGGAATGCTTTCATTTTATGGTTGTAGACTTCTATCCATCTTCTTTTTTCCCATGACTCATCATCAAATTCTACACAAATCTACAGAAAGGAAACAAAGTGAAGGGGTGACGAGCCATATATTGAAACCCATACAATGTGACAAAGGAGAAACAAACAATGTTTTCCTCAAAAAAAAATAATTTAAAAGTACTTACAATGCAAACATGATTCTTGCCTTTCTGTCACACAATCAAGCAGTCACTAAAGCATCCCAGGCTGAGCGAGTATTTTACAAGTGATGGTCAATGTTAACTGGGCTGTCATCATTATCACATGAAACATTAATATTTCTATTTAACTCTCTAACTCATAAAGTCTTCTGCTGCTCAAGGGCAGTTAAATGTGTTAACTCTGCCACCAGTGTTTGCAAAAAATAGCAGAAAACTCAAAAAACTTTAAACGGGCTGTATACAGTAGTGGTACTTGCACTTTCCATAAACTCTAAACTAGAATACTTGAACAAACAAGCTGTTTTTCCAGATGTACTTTAAGAATAAGAGTTCCAAAGAATAACTTTAATTAATTTATTGAAAGCACAAATAACAGTACACCAGTAAAGGTGATCAAATTCTAAAGTGAGAAGAAGGTAATTTGCTGCCTTTTAACTGGTATTTAACTTCACAAATCTCTGAGGCACCTGTACAAACTTTTCAAGAGGAGAGCAGTTGTCATTTCAGGAGAACACGGTGGTTTGACCAGTTTCTCTGGGATGGCATTACCCTTCTTTCCTGGGGAGATCAACACAGGATTGGGAAAGGCCACAGACATGACTCTGTCTGAATACAGGCATCGGGATGTCTTGGTGGAGAACACTACTCTCAGAAAAAGCACTCTTCCCATCAAATTTACCAATCCAGTCTAAAAACATGTAAGTAATTTAACCTAACAGCTGAGAAACCTCAGTTGAGGGAATCTTAGAAACATTCTCTTGTGCTTAGCTTCCCTTTAAGGATAGAGGAAAGTAGAAGCACGCACACAAAACACCATTACCAGAGACACGATTCGTAAAGCCAATGGGTGCAGAAATGAATTTAGTCATTTTGAAGTTCACAGAAACAATGGAAGAGATAAGCAAATAATACAAGCACCAGAACCAGAACGGCTTGTTTTATCTACAGAATCAACACTGCACAAAGAGGAAAATACAGAGAAAATACTTTCAAAAGTCACTGACAGTCCTTCTATTCTGCAGTTTGCTTTTGACACTATAGAAAAAGATTAAATATTTCTACTCCTTTAGAGACTTCCCCCCCCCATATCCATTACTATTTTGAGTCTAACTATACATTACGCCTTCTCAGAGCTGCAAGAGAAGAAAGGAGTTGGTATGTGTTTTGGTACAAAAGCTCTCTACGCCTCAATTGTCTGCTTTGCAACTTCTTTAACACTTTTACTGGAGAATGAATTAAGTCAATAGCTTCTGGCAGAACCGTAACCAGTGACAAGGCTCACAGTAAAGCCCCCAGCAGCACCTGCTCCTTCTCTTTTTAAGTCCCAGAGAAGGTCCTTAATAAGAGCTTTCTGCAGCAGCAACATCCTCCTCCTCACTCCAAGTACGGCATGGGCACAGCCTCTCTGGCCAAAGATGGAGAAAGCTCCACCCCTGCCGCAGATCCACAACAAGGGGCTCGGCCTCTACCGACTCGGGACACCTCGTAACAAAGTTTACACTTTCCTGAAAGTTAGAAACGGAGGCAATTTCTTCATGTCTGACAAGGGCAGGTGCTTCATCAGTTAAGCAGAGGTCTCAAAGTTCTCACCATTAAAAAAAGAAAGGCAAGGAAACAGTTTTAATTGAAAGATTGCGCCGTTCTTGCTGTCATTGAACAAGCGTGCCACAAAAGAGCCCTGGAGAAATAAGTAAGACCACGTAACAAGACACCATTGCTATAACGGAGTTTTGTCCTCAGTGAGTACTTTGTATATCACAGTAATGGGCCAGACACGGTTGAGCAGTTTTAGTGGCTACAGTTGCCAAATAGTCCCTTCAGAACCTCGCATTCAAACTGGAAGTCACTTGACTTCCACCCAAAACACAGAGTTCACAAAGTACACTAAGCTTGCAAGAAGTGATGGCACGTTCAAAAACCCTGTTGGTAATCATTAAGAAGTGGCCATCGTGCAAGAAGTGCCCGAGAAACCTCCACCACCGCACACGAATTTGGTATGTCTTTCAAGACAGTAGAAGTACTTGCTCATTACCAGCTACTTCAAAGAGCAAAAAAAGTCACCAAGCCCATCAACGCAGGAGTGTTTCTGTTTCACCTCTGGGGAAAAAAAAACCACCACCATTCACAACTGACAGGTTCTTAAACTACACCTAGGATATGTGCAGAACTAAAGCCTAGGCATAGCGAGTGCAATAAAAACCTGAAGTTTTCAAAATACTAGTGGAAAAAAACACGTTTATAATTAGTTTGAGGTAATTTCCAGCATTAGTAGAAGCACACTGGGGGCTTTAGCCAGCGGTGCACATGTTTTCAAGCATTCTAAGCAGGCAAGTTGACCAAGAAGACTTCTCTTCCCCAACAACAGGATATATATACGTGTGTATAAATGTATACACACACCCACATGCATGCCCGCACACAAAGTTTCCAGTTCACAGGGTAAGCACTCTCGTTTTAGAAGGTCTCTTTGAAACTTTCCGGTTACCTTTAGGTCTTGTTTGGATATGTCCGTGTGTGAAACCGCTCGGATCTTGCCCGACTTCCAGGGCCATTCCAAGACGCGATTGGTGTCCCACGGCTTGTCCTCTTCCTCCGACAGACTCAGGAACTTCTTCCCCACCAGCAGCGACCAGCTCCCCTCGAGCCTCAGCACCATTTTAACTCATCGGGAGGCCTCCAAGGAGGAAACCGACGGGAAGAGGAGAAAAATGAAAGGAAAAGAAGCCACGGCGGCGGTCAGCCGGCAGGTCACGCTGCGAGCCCTGCCGCGGGGCTCGCCCCCCGCCCGCGTTTCCTCACAGGGAGCCAAGGGAGCCAAGGCGGGCAAAAGCCGCGTTGTTTCCTTCTTCCTCTCCCCGTCTTCCCCCTTCCCT